TTAGGTTGAGAGAACTTTTGTTTTCTTGCTGAAGACTTATTTATTTATTTTTGGCAAATTCTTTTAACAGAAGTTAGATGAAGTTAGATGAAAAAGGAATTCTTTTTCAGTTAAAATATTTTAAAAGACTCACAAAAGGAAATTGCACATACAACTAAGGTAAGTATTTACATTCTTGGTAGTTTCTGAAGATAACATTAGCACAGGTTTATGACAGAAGAAAAAGTTGATCTAGACACAGAATGCAGACAAGGTGTAATCATTATTGACTCATATCAATTTAAAATCTTTTTTTCTGTACAAATTATATAATCAAAATAATGCTATGCAGGGAAATTGGTGATCTTAATGACTCTTACAGCTGATTAACTATCTTCATTCTGTTTACAGATTAAAATTATATACTTTTTTGTTTGAAACAGCAAATGGAAAAAAATCTTTATTTTGAGAACAGTCAGTGTAGCCCTAAATTTACATGCTGTGTTACCTAATACCTCCTAGAAATACTGACTTCTGAAACGGGTCACTTCTTCCCAGAACTGATGCGAGGGTGAAATCGAGCCTTGCATCTGAAGACTGAATAAACAGGCTTTGCATTCCTGTGTTCTTCTTCTTAGGGACAGCAAAATTGATTTTGTACAGCCATTGCTGAAGCAGCAAAAATGCAGGTTATTATAATAATGATCACTCATTATGCTAAATTCCTATTTACAGGTTAAATGGAACCCCTGGGTGGAGATAATTTTTCTAGCACAATTGTAAACTCTTGCAGACCCCTTTTACTTCCTCCTGCCCATTTTGGCAGATTCTGCTGGACAGAAGAACCACAGCAGGGTTTAGCGCTCCTTTGCTGGAGGTGGAGATTGGACTCCTCATCTGCAGCAACTGTCCCTGGGGTTCTGCTCTTGCCTCCAGCTCTGAGTCACTGGGCCTGGGAAATTAAATGACTTTTCCTCACATTCCAGTTTTCTGTATAGAAAGGATGCAAATATTCACTTTTGCAAAGTAGCTGGGAGTCCTGACAGCAGGTAACCAGGGAACTCTTACAAGCTGTTATGGGAAAAAAACCCTGATGGCTCATGGCACCACGCGCTCGGGGCTGCAGAGCACTTCTGCCTGCCCTGTTTGTGGCTTGTTCCCACACTGTGTGCCTGCGGGGGAACTGTGGGGGAACCATCCCTCAGAGAAAGGGTTAAACAATGGCTAGAAGAGTCAACCTAAGTGAGTTTTGTTACCCGTAGTCTGGAGATAACCCAGCCACTGAAGACCTTGTCCTACTCCTAGGGCAGGAGAGGGTGAGGAACCCTGGGAGGATGCTGCTTTTCCGCATGGATTCCTCAGACTGGTTTTGCACCTCATGCAGCCCCAATTTGGTGGTCTCTTTGCCCCATCACCTTTCTTTGACCAATTTCACCACCTGGCACTTCTTCCCAGAGGCACGGCTCTGCGCCTCACTGATTTGTGGGAGGAGGGATGGAGAAGGGGGACAACTGCTTCTTCCAGGAATGAAGCTCTGGGTGACCGGTGTTCTCCTCAGGGCTCGCTGCCGTGGCCACCAGCCCTCTCACCGGCCGCAGGCGTTGGGACCCCAGCAGTCACCAGCACCGGCCTTGCCCTCAGCCCCGGAGCCGCACGGCACCGAAGCGGGAGCTCGGGGAGGAACCGTCGCAGCCGAGGCTTTGGGTCTCTGCAATCACAGCAGACGAACATCAACCCGCGTTCCTACCGCTCCTCTTCCGTCTGTTTGTATCGAGGCGTTCGGCCTTTAGCCAAGAGGGTAAAACGGTCGTTTATTATTGGTGAAGGAAACACTGATGTTTAAATTACGTTAGATCACAGGATTTGCGTGCATCTTGTGGCACAGACGTCGTTCCTCTGCCTGTGCACGCTCTTTTTAAAACTAGGATGTGCACTCCCGCGGGTTGCTGTACGGCAAACGAGCTGCTGTTCCGTCCGCATTGTCGTTTATGACGTGAACGCAGTTACGCTCGACCGCAAGGCCTCTGGGTAGCCTGTTCCCCCTTTTTTTAACGACCGCCGGCGATGCCGCCAGCAC